GCAGCCCCTCCTGGCTGTGGAGCTGAGGGACACAGGTCCCTGGTGGCCTTGGAAGTGCTGGGTTGGACCTGGTGGTCTGAAAGGTCTTTTTCCAACCCCAATGGTTGGGATCTGACCTCCTGCAAGCACCTCTGGACCATGGAACACCCCGTCCCAGCCCAGAAGAACCTGGGACACCCCTTTTTTGGCCCTTCCCTGCCCGTGAGCAGCAGAGAGGGGTGACACACTCAGCCAAGACCTCCAGGTCTCCTGTCCCCAGGGCCTCCCAAAACCTGGTGGCAGGAGGTGACAGGGGATGATGCTCCAATGCCACTTTGGGCCAAGTCTGTAGCTTTCCTGCCACAGCTCCTGCTAAATGGCCCATCCCTGCAGGAGGAAGGCAAACTGGCTCCTGGAGCTCCTGGTTTCCATCCCCTTGGGCTCATTGGCTCCTTCTAATGCTCCTTGGGATGTTCCTGTCCCTGGTGCCACGTGTCCCTCCTGCCACCTCCTGTCCTCCAGGTCACCCGAGAAGCTGGGGACAGGAGGTGACACGACTTCCCCCCTGGGGGAGATGCAGGGTGCAAGGGGATGGGGTGGAAGGCACCAGGACGGTCGGGGGACACAGACAGGGGACCCTGAGCTGGTGCAGGAGAAACCTTGGAGACCTGGGGGGACGTGGATCTGGGGAGGGTTGAATCCCTTGTGCAAAGGAGGGTGGCTTCAAAGGGGGTCCCTGCCCACCTGCAGCTGTGGTGGGACCTGCTTTGAGGTTCCTCCTCCATGTGGGACCTGCTTTGAGGTTCCTCCTCCATGTGGGACCTGCTTTGAGGTTCCTCCTCCATGTGGGACCTGCTTTGAGGTTCCTCCTCCACGGTCTTCCCGGTTTCTTCTCCCTCCTGAGCTCAGGGCTGGTTTGTCACCCCCAAACCCCACCCTCTCCCCCTCTTTCTTTTACCACTGGTTGCTCTTCTGCCACCTCCACCCTCTCTGTGCCCCCTTCTTGTACCAGCTGAACCACCTCCTCAACCCATCCTTGCCCTTCAGGACGATGTGTCCCCTGGGGTCCCTCAGCTGGTGCAGAAGCAGCTTTGGGGACCCGGGATTTGCTTTCAAAGGAAAATCGGGTGGGGGGGGTTGACTGGTTATGGACTCCCTGGGGCAGCAGTTCTGGGAGTGGGGGAAGGTTGGGACCCCTCAGCCCTCCCTTCTCCTCTGCCACTGGTGCTGCACAGCCTTGGACACATCAGCTGGCCCAGCCCGAGCTCATCCTGGTGGGTCCTCACTCCAGCAGGGATGTTCCCAGCCTGGCTCATGGCTCCCACCCAAGCTCATGAGCAGCAGCCTCCTGAATCTCCACCCCAGCTTCACCTGCTCTTGCTGCAGAACACACCTGGTTCCACACAGATGTTCCTCTTCTTCAATCCCCACCATCACCTCCAGGCCCCACCACCAACCCGGGGTGTAAAGGATTCCCTGGGAATCCAATCCTAGTTTTAAGGAGCTCTCCCAAGTCTTCAACCCCTCAGTCACCTGCTGAAATGTACCCTTGTCACCTGCTCCCTAAGGGAGGGGAGGGATTGGTGGCATCTGCATCTGGTGGCACCAGGACTTCTTCTGAGCCCCCACCCCTGGGGCTGGTGCTTTGAGGGCTGTAGAAGCTGTAGTTTGATTTTCATTTGATGATGTTCTCCTTCCCCTTTCTCCTTCAAAGGAAGCACCCAAGAGCTCCACCAGGTGCCACAACTTCCCTGGAGAAGCTTTTCCAGCCTCTCACCACCCTCCCAGTGAAGAGTTTCTTCCTAAAATTCCACCTAACTCTCCACTCTTCCAGTTTGAGGCGATTCCCCCTTGTCCTCTGCCCCCAGGGCCTTGTCAAAAGTCCCTCCTCAGCTTTCCTGGAGGCCTCTTTCTTGATGCCCACCCCAAACTCTGGCTGCAACCCAAGCACCTGGACATCTGTAAAAGTGACCAGCCCAGCAGGGCTGGGAGAAGAAGAGAGGCTGGAGACCCAAAGAATGGGGCTGGAGACCCAAAGAACGAGGCTGGAGACCCCAAGAAAGGGGCTGGAGACCTGAAGAATGGGCTGGAGACCCAAAGAAAGGGGCTGGAGACCCAAGGAATGGGGTGTGGATGTTGAGCTGGTTCCTCAGGCAGTGATGGACCAAGCAGCTCTTCTTATTCCTGGTGAGCATGCTCTGATCAGAGAGGGTTCTTCCCAAGGTGGGTTCCTCATGGTTGGTTTTTCTGGTGCTGGTGGTTCCTGGCTCTCTGGGGCTTGTTTTGGGCTTGGTGAGATGGTCTTTGCCCATCTCTAGGGCTTTCATCCCTTGTGTTGCTGCTGGCTGCCCTTTCCACCCTGGGGAAACTGAGGCAGGGGAGAAGCCTCAAGCAGGGAGGGGACCTCAGGGAATGTCCTTTTAGCTCCACTGAATGCTTCCCCTCCCACCAGGCTGCATTTAGTGTCTCCTTCATGGAGCAACATGAAGGTTTTTCAGGAGAAGATCATCTCCCCTGTGGAACCAGCAGCAGAGCAGGACCCCAAAAATGATCTGGGAACCTTCCATCTTGTGGGGTTTGGTTGTTTTTTGGAATGCCAGCAAGAAATAATCCCCTTTTCCCTGCTCAGGATGGGAACAGTTTGACGTCAAGAGCCCCAACAAAGAACTGAAATGAAAACAAGCAGCAGCTTTTCCTGGTGATGATTGGCCAAGGTGGTGAGAAGCTCCATGAGGACGTTTTGCCTGGACTCCCATATTTTCCAGGCCCTCAAGAGGACCTAATAAAGCAACACCTGTTTCTTTGAAGGCCTGATGGATGATGGAGCCAGACTGAGGGTTTTAGGACTCTCTGGGAAGCTCCCAAGTAGCAGTTGTTTCAACAAGGAGTGAAAAACCCTCTTAAATGCCTTTTTTGGGGGGATTATTGTGTTGAATGAGAAGCTAAAAATGGGGCTGAGTTGGGAGTCCTGGTGTGATGGTGGTTTTGGGGCTTCTGGAAGGGGCTTCTCTGGCTTTGGGATGAAAATAAAAGGGGGAGGAAAGTGACAGTTTTCCTTAGAGGGGGAAAAAAAAGTGACATTTTGCTGCTGGCTAAAAAATCCAGGAGAAGGTTTTCCCACTTCCCAAAATTCCTGCTTCAGGAT